TGGTAAGAAATATTTAAGCTGTCTGTAATGAGATTTAGAAGTTGCTTAGCACAGCTGAAGAACATCTGAGCCTTCATGTATTACCCTCCTCCCTTTCTGTCCATCAGAGAGCCAGGAGTGAATTCTAAGTGTAGGACAGAAAAGTGGGCAAACTGCATATCACGATGAAGTTGTGGTGGGACCTTGGTGGTATAAATGACAGGCACCAACAAACAAAGAACAGAAAGGTAAAAATCACTTCCAAACACTGTATTTTTCTTCTCTGCAATTCTCATAAATCTTAAAAAGAAACACTTATTTAGCTGTTTTCATTGCTAGCTGAGATTTCAAAAAGTAACTGGAGAGCGGGGCAGAATAATTTTCAGCTTAAAGGATGGAGAAATTTTTCTCCTAATCCTAGGTGTGCCATGATCTGTGTATGACTCAGAAGACCTGCAGATATTCTCCATGACAAACTTCCCATCTATGTAAAAGAGGTTAATATAACATAAGTTGTTCTATGTTTACATTTACAAAACACGCAGATTCTAGACAGATGACTGTGACAGTGCAACATATTTCTGGACAATAGTGACCATTTGCTAGGCCAGCTTCTGATCTGATGGGTTCTGTCACTGAGGAGTTCTCTGTGCTTTCATCTGAGCTGCTTCAGTTTTGATATGTCTCCAGCAGGTTCTCTTTAAAAATATTATGCTTTTTTTTCATTTGCAGGAAGATCAATAAGAGCAGAATCTGTCTTATGCTAAGCCTCCTTGTCCCCTGGAGGATATCTAGCTTTAATATCCCTGTAGCAAATGAAACCGAGAGACCAGTTTCAACATGGAATGGCAAGTGTGCTCACTAAGAGACAGTCTTGTGATTATCCTGCTTTTTATTCACTACTATCCTTATGATTATCAAAAAATATTCTTTTATATGCTGTGTGTGTGAATAGCTACTGCCTTGAGAGATCACTATTGCCTTTTAATTGCCTTTGCTTTGAACAAGAGATGACCCTTTGAATGTTGGGGTGGGGAGCTGGGGAAGAGTCTTTGTTTTGCAGACCCGATGGTGTTGGATCCAGCAGCTTCAAGTAGTCTCCAACCCAGTCACCCCAGCTAAGAGAACGTGCAAGTGCTGTGGCCAGCAACTTCAAAGCTGTGTCATATTTCTACATGATGTAAATTCTTTAAACAAGCGAAAACCACTGTCTGCTTTTAAAAAAAAAAAAAAAAAAAAAAAGTCATTAGACTGCACATTTATGTGCTTAGGTAATCAAGAAATACCCACATTATTGTTCCTTGGACATTCTGAGAAGCTTTACCTCAACCAGGCATGAAACAGGGCCACGCATTATTCACAAGTTTGTCTTTAAAACCAAATGTGTGAGAACGGATATCGGTGAAAACGTGCCGAAGCTTACGTGCCATCCAGGGATGGGGGTGACTGCACAGCTGCCTTGAAAGGCATCCAAGAAAATCTGTACTGCACGTGTATATGCATCTCCGTTTACTGCACATCCAGCTCAGTTTACTCAGTCCATGGACTCCTCTCCCAGATTGCACAGGATGAGGACAGCACTATGCGTGGCAGAACTGGAAAGTAAATTTTGCAAACAAATTGAAACCATTACGTGTTATTTATCTTAAGAGCTCCATAAATCACACATATGCTTAACTGGGAGTAGACTATGAAGCCCACTAGTATCAATGGGAAATTCTGTAATGGTCGAAGGACTGGAGAGCCTTCCAAATGAAACATTCACTTGGGCTTTCCCAGAGAATCAGCTAACTAAAATATTTTGAGGGAGTATTTGGAGGCAATACGAGGAAAAAGTTTCTGTATAGAATTTTGTACTTGTGCGCAGGTAATAAATAGAAAGAAAACAGTGGACTGAGTTCTATATTAACCATGAATCTGTGTCAAAGGTTGGAAATGCTAAATAATCCGGTTTATGGCTCCCTTCGGTAAATCTGTGTAGAAAAGCAGCAGAAGTACTACAGGCTCTTTCACAAGGATTGAGCTGTGAGTGAACAGAAATTCTGTGGAACTCACACCAAGGTTTAGCTCCAGAGATGCACTTGAGGGAGCCGGGGCTCCAGCACTGCATCTGTGTCACAGTGTGAACGTGCTCTTACAGATTGTGCCATAGCCTGCCAAACCAAAGACAAACAGGTTCTGGAGTCCTAGCGTTGCCACGCTGAAAGATTACTTCACAAGACAGCACTGTTTGCTCCAAAAGGCAAAATGTCAAGGGATGGCAACATAGGTCCCAGAGAGGTCTGGGCCCCAAAATCTTCATTTTTATTGTGTAAAAATCTGTGTTCCACGATGAAAGGCTTCAAATCTAACTATGATCTTCTTACACATCTCTTAGTCTGTAATTAAGAATAGACTTGCAAATATCTCAGGTCTTTCCTTTTGAACCCACGCTTTCCTGTTGAACACAGCTTCAGCTGGCAAGGGGTTCTGTGAGAAGACATTTGTTTGATCTGAAAAGCTTATTTCCATCAAGATACAAATGACTGTGAGACTTTCTGGTAAACTTGTGAAAAAGTGGATCATTTCATCATCTGAAGCTGACTACGTTCTGGTAATAGGCTGTGAAACGTGATCCTGGAGACATATTTCCAAACTCTGAGAGACATTTCCAAGGCATTTTTATCATGACTAATAATAATTCTTCCTAATTCTACACAGTATCACAGTGGAGACATGAAATACTTCCTCTTTTCATGTGGATAGTGCCATAGCAAAGACAAGTATTATGCTTATTATTGCTGAAAATCTATTTTTCTCTTGTCACTACCATACATATTTTAGCTTTCCAAAGTGGATTTTAAGAGTGTTAGGCTTCTCACAAATACTGTTTGCATCTTGAAGTGGAAGAATACTTCTCAGTCTGTCTTTTAAATAAAACAGAATGTTTGACAAGTTGCAAAGGCTATATGTGGAAAAATATAAGATCGGCCAAGCTGGACCCCGTGATTCTGCCAGCTTTGATAGGGAATGATAGCACTGTATTTTGGCAAGTTATAATTCAAGGGTTTTTTCCTGGCACAATTCTGCTTTCCTAAGGGGCAGCTTTTTCAGCACCAACATATACAACAGCCCATCTCCTCATTGTCTCGGCATACGCACACACGTAACCATTTTGCTGGCACTTTGTACTTTGCTCTAGATCAACCAGTGTTTTGTGGGGCAACAGCAGGAGCATTATGTATAGTCTGCTCACTGTCTATATCATAGTCATGAAGGCGGTGAAACACTATGGTTTGTATATTAAATTTTTTCAGTCTCAAGAAGAAGGGTGCACAGCCTGTTAAGTATAGAGCTCTGTTTTTCTCTTACTGTGAAGAGAAAAAGCAAGCTCAAAACAATGCTCAGAGACCATGAAGAAAAGTTTTCTTTCTGCTATTTGTCTTGGACAATTGTAAAAACTGAAAAAGCTGTCAAAACTAGCAGTCGGAGTCAAAAGAAATGGGGAAGCTAGGGAAACCAGCCATCTCGGTTTGTAACCAGAGGAAGGAGAGTGGAAGGTGTAAAGTTGTAGTGCGCTGTCTCTTTTTCCCAAACAGGAGGCAGTGTGGTCTGATACAAACAGCTCCAGAGCGAGAACCAGGACTGCATGTTTGTTTTCTAGCTTCAAAGCTCCCTGCTGAGTATCTTTCTACAAAGAATTTGGCTTAGTTCTCTTCTCTGGAGAGTTCTGTGTGAACAGCAGTAGGTAAGGGCTATGAAAAATAAGCAGTAATATCTAGTTTGTGTTGTAGAGTGTAACAGTCATTTTTTCAAGAAGAATCTGTAAATAGGACCTTTATTTGGGAACCTCTCAGTGGCCGTTACTGGACTTCTCCCCTCCTTCATTGACTTTAAAGAGCAAAAAATGCTAATCTGTGCTACTGAGCTACTACTGAGCTCATGACAATGCCATGAATTGAAACCTATATGAGCCCGGTACAACGCAAAATATGAAACTCCACTGAGGATGATCTAACCACAAACACTTCTAGAGAAGTTCTTAAGCAGTTCCACAGAGGAGCTAATACCTCATGACAAGAACAAGTACAAGACCAATTCCTAAAGCAGTTTGGACTCCATGTGCAAGGAGCATAACACAGGCAGAGAAAGGAGCATAACACAGGCAGGGAAACAATCTGTGTTCTACAGAGGAGGCATTTTTTAAAGAGCATTTAACTAGGGACTGATCAGGAGCAAAAACAAAACTAGTTTTGTTCTGATTGAATAGATCGGTTTTGGAACATGCTTTTATGCTGTAAAATGTGTTCCGAATTTATCAGGAACTTTTCTTCTCACTATTGAAGATTGAGTCTCTGTACTATGCTTTATTTTCTGAAGTTTCCTGGAAAGAGTTTCCTGGACTGTGAGATCATTTCTTCATTTCTCCCAAGGGATGAACATATGCACACAAACACACACACAAATAATAATAAAAAAAAAAAAAAAAAGTATGATCATATCTCCTGTAGAAACAAACACACTGCTCCTGGTGTGTACTTTCATGTGTGCACGTAAAGGAAATAGACCTAAATTAAAAAAGCTGTGTTCATAACAAAAAGTAGAGAGGGCTTGAGAGGTCTTCCTCTGGATGTGGTGGCAAGGAGGGGATGGAGACAGCGGCTGTTCGGTCCAGCCCCAGCATCCGGGAGGTTCACGCTGCGCACCCACTAGTCCCTTTCATGCATTTTTCCCTTTCCCTGTAGTGAAACTCCTGGTGCACACGAGAGAACTAAGTTGTTTCATCCATCCCGTGCGAGCCCAGATTTGGATAAAGTGCTACCCAGGTACCCTCAGTGACCGGGGCTGTGTGGGCGTGTGGGGAGGCTGCTGACTACCCTTGTATTTGTTTTGTTACATCAGCAAGAGTGGACTTTCATGCCTTCGCTCCCTTCTTTTCCCCGGGCCGGTTTTTGCTGTGCCTTCAGTTCTTTCCCTCCTCCCCCACCTTCCTCCTCTCCATTTGCAGAGCCCCTCCTCCTGGGCTGCCACCCCTCCTCTCCCCTCCTCTTTCTACCGTCAGAGGCTTGCAAACTTGTTAAAAGCTCTCCCAGTGTTCCAAGTTAGAAAAAACTTTTACAAGGTATCAGCACTTTTCTTTCATTAGTGGGGAAGGAAGGATGAAAAATACAAAACAGCCGTAGACTTTAAAGTTTCAATAGACAGGTCTGAGTGCCTGAACGTGCTCTTCCATTTTACTTTACCCTCCAAAGAAGTATTCTGATACAGTTTCACTGCTGAGCAGCAAGGGTAAGTTGAAAGTCTTCCTTTTTCATGCTTTTGTGTATCACTTTTTCTGAAAACACTTTTTTTTTCACCCTAAGAATTTTGTGTTACTGTGCTGGTGGTTGAACTTGTTTAAAAATACACCTCAGTAAAAGCGTAAGTTCTCTTAAAGTGCTAAGTTCAGGCTTGTAGGAATTCTTCACTTTCTTTTGTTATATTTCTATACATCTCTTCAAATATTACGCTTTTACAACTTCTAACCTTGTTCCACTGAAGGAGAAGCAGTGGTGAAGTTGTAACTGCAGGGCTGAGGTGCAGACTTGTTGCTAGTGCTTAAGTGAATCGCTTCTCTCTACTTATCTCAGACTAAATGAGCTCCTTTAAAGACCAAAAAAAAAAAAAAAAAAAGGAAAAGACGAGGTTCGCTTCAGTCTCCCCTGTTGTGCCGAAATTGCATCAGAAGTTACTATGAGACGGCGTCCCGTGTGCGTCCCATTCCTGCCCCACACATTTTGCTTTCATATGTAAATCCTGCCTGATGCCTAATAGTTTGCGCAGAGCAAGGGTCTTAATTAGGTGCTTTGTTAAACGCTGCAGCTCCTGAAGTGGTGCCTTTCACGTGGTCTTCCTGATAGGTTTTCCCTTTTTCTTTTAAAATGGATGTGATAAAATCCAGACGTGGGTTACGGATTTTTAACCTGGTTTCTATATAGTTACTCTGTTCTAGCAACCTCGGTGAGGGTTTTTAGAGAAGGAAAGGGAGATATCATGATATGCCTTACCACGCTGACAATGTCTGTGAAAGTCTTGGGTAGCTATAAATGAAAGTTATCTAGGAAGAGGTGTGCAAGAATATCCACAATACGTGTCATAATCCCAATATGACACATTCCCTTTATATTACCTTGAAGGCTTAAATACCAAAATGCTTGAGCAGCATCTCTTGGAGAACTAAAAAGATTTTTACGTTGAATGACTTGGAGTGATTCCTAATAGCCATTGTTGCCTGCTGCGTGCCACCAGTAGTGAAAGAGCAACACGAGGAGACAGGAAAAAGAGCTTTCAGCTGAAAGACAGATGAAGCACAGTCTATTTTATCTAGTAACACGTTCTTGTCTTAAACAAGAATTCTTTATGCTTATGTGTGTCCTCACAGCTTGCCTTGGTATAATGAGCGAGCCTCACAAAGTTCTATATTTTGTCTGAGGAGTTCCTTTTGATTTTTGTATATGAGATTTAGGACAGAAACTCCTGGTAATGGAGGCAAAAAATGGGTTAGACACCTTGTGTCTGATTTCTGTGAGCGTGAGTGTGCGTGTGTGCACAGGGAGCAAACTGGAGGACTTGCGTGAAGCTTTAATCCTGCCATTTTTAACATCTGGACAGCACACTACCCGGCAGAATTTAAGCCTCTGGTCTTTGGGATGTTTACTGAATTGTTTCCTTCAAAAACTTCAAAGCCAAACACTAGCACTGACCCATGATACCTAACAAGCATACAAATGGAGAGGGCTGAGCAGCAGGCTGGGTTCAGGAGAGGGAAGAGAAGGGCACGAGAGATTTGATTTGCAACATAAATCTGAATGCTTACACACTCAGGAGCACAAACAGATTCAGCACTGTAAAGTTATCTCAGCTCTCATGTTATGCAAGCCCCAAATATTATTTGTCTCTGAAATGAAGGTCAGTTTAGGCCAAGGATTCCTGTGGGCATGAGGAAGGTTAGATGACATTGAGCAATGTATCTGTTTCATCAGATATGTTGCTCTCTTTCTGTCGGTCTCTGGTATCTCCTCCCCTTGTTACTCACTGAATTTATCTCACATGGGGGCACTTGGTCTGTTGTTTATGCCACACGTATGTTTTAGAAATCCAGATTTCAAAATCCACAAACAGGAGGAGCAGAGGGCCTGAGGCCACCTCAGAGAATTAAGCACTTCTCTTAGTTCCATCGTAAGTCAGGAGAGGGATGAATCTGGGCAGTAGCACAAAAGGTAGACCTGCGTTGGACAACTAGAGAATGTCTGAGAAAGTGCTTACAGTTGCTTTTGCAACTGTGCTTTAGAATTAAATTAGGTGGAGAGGGTACAACGTGGGAAAGACAAAGGCTATTGTGTAGATCCACTACTGGCTGACCACCAGCAATACTAGCACACAACAAAACAAATACACAGTTGTGCCACTTTAAATTCTAGTTACTGCAGTTGTTCAGTGATCTTTGTCCAGTGGATGAAATGAACTGAAGCTCCTCTGCATACCTACAAATGAACGGCACTTTCCCAGGGGGATATCTGGAAGACATTTGGCTGATTTTTGTAAGATTTCAGAAAAGCCTTCCCTGCTCCAACCCATCTAAGCCCTATCAGTTGTACGTTTCTTCTGCTTTCTCTGCAGTGCTAGTTGCTTTTGGGAAATACTCAAGCTGACTGATGTTCAAGGTCCAAAATCTTCTCTTTTGTTGGCTATTTATGTGTGTGTGAGCACACCTGAAAAAGGTAGGAAAGGTTGGAAAACCAAAACTTTGGCCTATTTCCCAACTGCTTCAGCTTCATAGTCCCACGGTATTTCCTACTCTAACCCTTACTGCTCTTCCATCTACTAGCATGTGACCTTCTGACACTGTAGTCAGACCTGGGCATGTTACCACAGCACTGAGTTTGCATTATTCTTCCTGGAAAATGCGAACCAGATGACATGATGAATGCTGTCCATAAAAAATAGTTCTAGAATTTCTTAATTGTAGCTTACAAATCAAATTTCATAGATATGTGGTCATCCAAAACCCATGCAGATAAATGCTGTCACATCTCCTGCTGCTCTATGGCTTTTTTTTTCTTATCTTTACCCACACACAGTAGGACCTGGAAGAAATCCATCTTTTGAAGAGTTTACTAGGCCAGCATTAGTCTGTTTCAGAAAAAGGTTATAATCCTGTAAAGTAATAATCAGTAAGTACTTCTGAAACACACATAAACATCATCAGCCATATCCTTAAATTCTTTAAGTAAAATTCCGACTTGTATTAATAGATCAGGTCAGCCTGTGTCATTCAGTGGACTCATTTAAGGTGTTTGGAGGTGTTAAAAGAAATTTAAGTCCAGAATGCTGAAACAGTATTTTTAAAAGTTGTCTGCCTCTGCCATCCATTTCAAACTAGGTACAAAGCTAGCACACTTAAATAACTGTCTGATGCAAAACTTCTTTTTATACCTAGTAACCTCTGTAATCAGTTAATAAAAAATGGTCATTCGGTGCCCTGAAAGTAAACAAGTTAGATCCGATGAATGAATTCTCTCTACAACAAAACAAAGTACTGTGTTCATAAAGCAATAGAATCCACTTAAGCAAAGGAATAATATATTTGTGCCACCACAAGGTTATCTGATTAACAGTACAATGTTTTGAATTGATGTGGGTTTTTTTGTCACTGGCAAAGGCTAACAAGTAACTGATCTCTTTAAAAAATGTTGCTTTTCAAAACTATGCATGAGCAATTCACGCATGGAATGTTTCCTCCTGGAGTTTATATTGCCAGAGGACATAAATGAAACTTAGCAATTTTGCATGCTGAAGCAAATTAGAAAATAGGTAGTAAATTCTGAAAATATTGCAGGTGTGGGATTAAGTAGGTCAAAACTGAAGTAAATCTCATAGTGTTAATAGACCAGAGTGGAGCGTAATTAAAAAACAACCAACACATAGCTGCCTAGACATAACACCTCCTCTCTTTTCTTAATCAAACTTTCGATCTGAAATAACATTTAGACAGTAAAAAAATACGTTGAGTCTGAGGAAAGTGTGTTAATGCAGTAGTTTCGAATCATCGGAAAGCTGACTAATTAAATCAAGGAACTGTTACTTGAAAAAGGCTCCTTCTGTCCACTTCCCCTTCTAGGACATGGAGCAAATAGTTTGTCTTTAAAACAAACTTCACATGTTGTATAGTTACAGACTGTTCTCTGTGTTAACAATCCCAGCCTGAGAAGGAACGTGGTCACATTTCATTCCAGCGTTTCCAAAGACCTCTGTGCTTGAGTACCCGACTCCTTCTCTGCTACCCTGAGCCCATAAAGACCAACTAGCCTTTCCTGAGAAGGACTAAAACTGGGGATGACTGAAGGGATGTGTCAGAGATAAACACACTGTGCTGTGGACTCCTCCCAGAGGAACCTTTCAGATTTAAAAGTCTGAATCAGGCCTGATCCCCTGATGGAGCTTCATTCATGGGAAGAACTAATTACGTGAGGAAGGGTCTGCACGCTGCAGTAGGTAAACTTCAGAGCAAGCTGACTAAGCAGACTGAGGAAATGGCCCTGGGATATTTTTCACAGGTTCAAAGATAATTGGTATCTTGGACATATCAGAGAGAGTACTTTAATCACTTGTTTCCCAGACTCTTTCCAATGGCAGGAACGGCGTGTTTTTATTTGGCATCTATTGTTATGATTGAGTTTGCCAGATTTATAGCCTTGTGTTTCCAGTGACTCACTGCTTCTTGAAAGAAAATCTCCTTGGTGCTAAAATTTCCTATTTTATGAATTCTCCAAAAAGGGCTTTTTTTCTGTAAATGACCTTCACTAGGGAATATATCCATGATGCGATGGGGAGGAAATAATTTGGACGTTATCGAAACTATTAATACCAGGAAGGGATTACTCAGCATGCACAGAACGAATATCAATAGCCAGCAGCATCTGCTTTAAAAGGGAAGCTTCATGATTATTTTTTCGTTTAAGTGCTGAATTTCACGTGCTTGTTCATGTGGGGCAAGTTCAAATGTACGTTTTTATGCAGATAAGGTTACCATTCTTGAGTTGATAAAAATTGTATAGTGAACTTTGTTTTTCCTAGGAATCTTGAACAGCAAGCAAACCGTTTCATTTATATCATCCTGAGTATTTCCAGATATCACTAAGAAGCTGCCTGTGTCCCAGAAATGTGCACTTTAAAATTTGAGAGAGACAATTTAAACTTGCAGTGTTCAACAGTTGGAATGCAAACTGCATGCCAGCAGTTGCCTTAAAAACAGAAAGAGCTCATTTACCTTTTTTTTTCTTGCTAAATCTTTTTTCCTTTCAAAACAAAGTGAAGGAATTTAAATACAAAAAGATGCAAGTATAAAGCTGAAACTACAATAAATTAAGCAAGCCACAGATAAACATGAAAACAGTTCCTCCAGTATAGCAATGTGAGCTTAGCTGTGCTCAGTGTATTTGCTATTTTTGGTTCCTTCATCAAAGTATAGGTAAAGCATGCTAACTTTAATCTTTTTTCTCCACATCCTAATGTATAAACTTTATTTACATAGCAGGATTTTGGTTTTTTTTCCTGAACTTGAGTGTAGTATAAACTTGGAATCATTAGGAACTATACTCTTAAGTGTATTGCATACAGTTTAGTGATATGCAAGAGCTGTTT